AGCAACTTTTTTTCTGACATACGAAATTGCATTTTGTTACAATAGAAGTCGTCCTCGGCCTCGGGTGGTACTAAAGGCCTCGGGAGGTACTAAAGACCTCGGGCACAGTTTTTCCCAATACGGACCTCCCGGCTGGTGAATAACATACAATTGGAACTATTTTTATAAACCGGTCGAAGGAAGTTGTAACAGAACGCTAGGAGCTTATTTCCTGGGAACTTACCATTTCTAGATCAACGTAGGTTGTAAGCATCGCACCTGCAACAAGAAACCCTAACCCAGGACCAACAATTGCTGCTGCGAAGAAAACACCGAAGTAGACTGGACACGATTTTGGGTGGACATTCTCGTCGATATAAGCGGGCGCTAGTGAGTACAGGGGTGACGTTCCAGCTCCCATGACCATTTGCGCAACCGAAAAGATCATCAGGTAGTACCAGTTCTTTGCGTATTTCGATAAACACTGGGAACCCTCTAAATCCGATGTTGTGTTTGTGGTGTTCACGTGACAGAAGAGCTGCCTTTGACCCGTAGAGGCTCCGTGGTCAGCCTCTGGTTGATATCGTCCGATTATAACGTGGGGAAGGGCATGTATGAAGCATCCAACACCTGAAAGGTTCATAAGATGTCTTTCTCAAACTTACCAGATGTTTTTGAACTAAGGTTACTTTTCAGCCTGTACTGTCAACGAGATGATAATCATGAATTTGTCGGTGACTTTTTACTATATTTGCACCGTCGATCATTTAAGAGCTAGCGACTAATGAGTCAACTAATCTTAACAGAGGTTTGTAGAGTCGAAATATACATCGAAACCTGCTGATACCTAAGGTTAATCTCGTACCCAGACCTTTCAAGGCTAAGGGGTTGTCGGTAGGATCCTGGTACGTGATAAACTGAATGTGTTACTGAAATTGCTACCAACTCTGACAGGTACGTAAGCAAATTTAGACGCCTGGATGACGTAATTGTCCATGTTCTTCTGTTTGTTTTTGCTTAGTTTAGTTTTTCGCGTTCTTGTACCTTTTGCTAATTAGTCATATTATGTGCTTCCTTTTTTTTCATATGCTAGGTTTTTATTTTGCGTTTGTATATTTTTCGTCTGTTCAGATATATTTCTGCGTCGGTTGAAGACTAGTTTAGGGCAGCGTGATAGCCCCACCCAACCCCCCGCCTCTAGTCACAACTAGCAACTGCTTTTATCATTTCGATCGTTTCACTTCCCTTTGCATCGTTGATTAGATTTGGATGGTTTTCACATTAATTAAGCCCTTAAAGACATTTGTGACTACAACAAATATTGAAGGAAACAGGAGTTCTGCCAACAGGCAACACATTACATGGATTATGAGAAAGGCAGGCGTCAAAAATCAAGGAGTGCACCTGTTATCAGAGCTCCATATCCTAGCCATTTGGACTTATTTCCATAGCCGCCACAATAACTGGCGATAAATGTAAGAAGAATGGCAGAAATATCATTGGAAGCAGCGATGAACCCTGTTTCTCTGCTAGTAAACTGGAATCGCTTTTCAATGGTTGTGAGGACGGCAGAGCTTATACCACCAACAGTCATTCCTGAAAAATATCATTCATAAAAAATATCACTCGTAGGATCTTTGAACTCCAGGAAGAAAGGGAAAGGCCCCCAAATGGGGGTTTGATGCACAATCGCTAGCATTATATGATAATGTGTTTGAGGAAACTAAAGATGGGCAGCTCCGGGGCGTTTTGGAACGAGGCTTAAATTATTACTCGGGTTCTTTGGAAGGTTTTTAGCTCTACTACTAGACTGTTTAGAAACCCATCGGTTTTTACGTGTAACTCAGTCAAGAAAAAAGCCAGTTACAATACAGGATAATCCTCTATTTGCTTCGCACTTGGTGAATCGCATCAAATAGGTCATCATTCCAAAGCAGGTAAGGGAAGCAGAGATTTCTCATTCCGTTCTATCGCTACTTCTTCCTTTTAAGGCTCTAAGACATGAGACCTTATAACCTTTATTATAAAATGATGATAGGTCTGGATAGCAGCAGTTATGGCACGCATTTAAGAAAATATGCGACATTTTTAAAAAACATGTTTCGAAAGTTCTTCTGTCATCTTCGGTTCTGATTTAAAGTACAAGGTTGAATTTAAAGAGCATAACAAAATGCTTCTAGGACAAAACAAACAATAGAGACAAAACAGTGTATGTAATTACATAAACATGTCTTTAAAAAATGTCGAATATTTTCTTCAAATGATAAGCAAATATTTCATCAGACGACTTCTGATTTTAAACGCACCTTGACTAATACTGAAAGCAGTGGCAAATAGCAAGAAACATTTGGAGTTGTTCATAAACTGAAGATATCCCGGTCTGAAATTTCTCCATCCATATCTTAGGAGTAGAGGATTCTTTTTTGTTTCCATCTTTCTATAACTGCCGTCTAAAATTAAAAAATCGAACTTAAGAACATTGACATTGACATTCAAACAACAGAAAGTGCCATGTACATTGAATTTTAGACTTACATTCTTTTAAATTTCCCTTTTTTTTATCATTCTCTTTGTAAATATTGACTTTTAGATTACAAGTATTTGTATATTTATAAGTAAGTATTTGAAAGATTTCATTCTAAATAGTTGCTTTTTATTTTGACAATTTTACCCGTGAACTCTTATTTTGCTTTAGCTATGCAAGTTCTTCGGAGTTAATATACGTTTTTATACATAAAGCATTTTTTTTCGTTCTATATCCATAACCTTAATTGTTGTTATTCTTCATTTTCCTTTCTAGCTTATTTTTTTTGTTTTCCTATTTTGTCGAGCCAATCAGTTTGTTGCCTTCTTTGAATTGAGGGTTTTGTAACATGGTGAGGTGAAGCTCCTACAAACTATGAATTTGGTAGACATCCGTCACAAAGTCAAAAGGATAGTTGAAATTTTCTCCAGTTCTTATATTTCATGTTTTAACTTGGCTGGTCAGAAAATAAAGATGGTTAGCGTACATCGCTCGGAATTTTACTGAGATTCTATCATCTAGCATTCATTATTTTCCAGTGAGCCTGCTTGAAGAAACCATATCATTCCATATGACCAGTAAAACAATCCGAGTCACCTTTGTCGATGCGTGATGTTACTTTATGCTTACTTACTATGACGCCTTACACAGTGGTACTTGTCGAGGCAAATCTAGTGATTGAGTGCAGGCCGTAGAAACGATCAATAAATAATTCGCCTTCCATCTTCAGATCTCCATATTTACAATGCATCCTAATTTGTGGATGAAGGAAGTTCCCTTTCTTCATTTGCGGAATTTCGCGCGAATTAAATTTTTTTGGCTTTACCTTTCGCCGCAGCTCCGGTGATCTTCCCCAAAGGACAAACTGTCAAGTCCTAGAGATCTCAGCGTAACCATTCAGTGAGTGCATCATATCTTCCACTGAGCTACAATTGTTAAATTACCATTAACATTATTGCTTCTTGTTTACCTGGATATCCTTAGAGTTGAGAGATTCTAAACGCGGAGGGTGATCAGAAGAGAGCCAGTATCACGTAATACACCTTTGATATCAGCTGAACTCACACGAACGGCACCGCCAGGTTCGGGTAACAAATGCGGTGTCCATTTCACTCTGATCATTATGTAAATTCTCCCGAAGTTTTTTCTGCCCTGACAAACAGACTGGTTATGAGGATCAATAATTCCATCAAAAAGGTTTAACTTCTTTAGTATCTTGATTTAACATCAGTCTTATGACGTCACAAAAAGAGATGCAGCTGTCATCCGTTGCGAGCCAGGCTTTCAGATCTTAGTAGCGAAATGGGTTCGTGTTAACAGCCAAAGCCGGATTTGATGATTGACAATGACAAGTGTCACCAGAAGATCATGGAATAACATGGGCCAACAGATATCAATTACAAAACAAAAACTTAGGAATAAAGTAGTAGGTCGACTCGAATGAGTTTACTATGCACTTTCAGCCAAGTTTTCACAAAAGCGTGACACATAAGCTGGCCCTGAGAGCCAGCAATTGAAATCAGGTTTGCATAGTTACTTATTGTATGCTTTTCATTTTTTTGGCTATTCAATGTGCGATTTTCACTTTTTCTAGCAAAAAGGTTCGAGTGTGGAGAGGACGTGAATGCATAGGATGCTTACCGATTTACCACTGTTTTGTTGGCCACACAAAACAGCAGATATATCTCGAGTGGTTACAGTTTCATTTCAGATGAACATAATCCGGCAAATAATTAAAAGGCTCGCCGTACTAAGGGCCGGTGATATAACAGGTCCCCTGCAGTGCGATCGTAAATCGAGCATCTTTCCTTAGAAAAAAATTCCGGTCATGTACTTGAAGTGACCTATGGCGCTGCTCTTCCATATGTATGAGCAGGCTCGTATTCATGCGACGAGAAGAGCCTGCAACTGGATTATCACCCCTGAAAAAGACTTTAAGGCCACGAGAATAAAGGAAATGATCACCGACTAAAGAAGATCTTGACTGTTAAACAAATTCTCCTTGTTAGCACCTAAGGAAATGTGTAGAGAACAGTATGAAGAATATGCATACTGATGTTAGAGTGTAAAGCATTAGCTAGGAGGGTCAGTGTTTGAAGGCTTTTGGCAGTACATCCCCCACCCACCCACCCACACGTCTTAATTACCCACTGGAGTGCTAACGACGCAAACCGTTACAGTTGACTGGGAAAAATTTGCGAGTGGGCACGTCAGTCCAAATCATATAGTGACAAGTTAATTATACATAATTACCGTTTATGTGCATCTTAATGTATCTTATTTTTTTTTCATTTACGGGTGGATTCATACATGACGAGTTATTCGGTCTGGCTTCATCTGGCGAGGGGTTTAAGAAATAATCATTCGCATGGGAATATGATTTAATAATGTCAGGTTATATGAATTCAACTCGCCGAAGAAGTCTACCCTTAATTTCCGCAAGGCCATCAGAGAATCAAAGAGGACAACGACCATATTTGAAAAGTCATATTTTCAACGCAGATCCGCCTGTGTCTACATTTGGGAGTGTTGTGTATGATAGTGATTATAACATGAGCTCTTACAGGAAACCCACTGCTAATTTCCAAATCGGAAAGGAAGATTTAGATCACGTCAACAGCAAACATTCATCAGACGAGGATGAAACTCTATTTTATTTGCCTGACGATACGAAGCGAGACCAAGTGGAGGCACTGAAGATGAAGTTTTATCAAAAAAACAACGCCAACGAAAACTTGCCAAGGTTTGAAGCTCAGGCATCATATCTCGCTCAAGACGACAACAAAGGGAACAGAAGAACTCTTTTGAACCGTAGGCGACAGCACAGTGCTCCAGAAGGAGCTGAAATGGTAACACCTGAAGCGGGTTTCTACAAGGAAGACAAAGGCGATGACGATGTAAAACTAGACTTGAAAATCTCGGACCGCTTTGAAGGCATCATGAAAGTAAATACAGAATTCCTTCAGTTACCGAGTATTAAAAAGGAAGAGGCGAATTCTAGTCACACTTTAGCTGTATCAGGCAGTGAATCCGAGACTAACATTGATTTCGTTAGTTTCGTCGATGAATCAAGAATGGGAGACCATCGCGCACAGCAAACACTTTCTGTTGGATCACAAGAAATATCACTCGAAAGGGACCTGACATCCAAAGTCAAAAAGTTTCTCCAAGAGCCTCAGCCTTTGGCCAGCACACAAAGTCTTCGAGTGAAGAAAATCCCCGATTTTAAGCTGCAAAGAAAAGTAAGTGGGAATGTTTACACTAGCGGTGCTGTGGAGCAGCTCAGAGGAGTGCCTATTAATACTGACACATGCCCACTCATGAGCCACTTTTCAAAGGACAGAAAATGGTATTATCAAGACAAAAGAAGAAAATGTCGCTATCTCAGAGTTCCAGAATCTCCTACTCCTCCTATTTCATATGTATTTGCAAAAGACGAACTAGCTGACTCAGTTTACGAGTAACAAGGAAGTTCCTATATTTATTATCAAGTGTCAAAAACTTGACCATTTTGCCGCGGAATCTACGCCTCAGTGAGAATTGGCGACGCTAAAGCGGCCTGATTGGTCGCTAACGCTAGCAAAAATCACTTACACACGGGAAGTCATTCTCTTTTTTTTTTTTTTTTTTTTTTTCGCTCCGAGGCTAATAGCGTTCATGGTATTTATATCTCATCGAGTGTGTTTGTAACTCAAGATTGTTGTGTGGTAGAATTCAATTGTTTTTCAAGTAAGCTATCAGCTAAGTTCACGAGAATATAATCTCTTGCTATGTCATGGTTATTGCGAAACATTCTATGCTCGTGGAAATGTCACACTAGATAATTAGAACAACGTTCATGTTGGTAATGCATGATGCACAAGAGCTACCAAGAGATACTTAAATTCCAAAGTCGCGTCTTAGTCTAATCCTGTTTGACTTACTAAATTAAAAAATAAATAAATCAGCTCAATTTAAATTAATATTGAGGTAGCTCACGAGCAATGACGGCGTCTTTCATGTATATTCATTCATTATTGAATCGACTTTCGTTTGCGAACTTTACGGAAACACTGAACATCAATATCAACATCAATATTGAAATTGCTGTTTCAGCGCTGAGTTCCGCTTTGCCATCTTATGCATCAATGACTTTATTTGTTATGGTAAACAAGAAATAATTAAAAGTAGCACATTGGACGACTTTCTTTTTTAATCCAAGGGTCAAATGTTATCATAGAATAAGATGGAAAATTGCTTTTGATCTACAGACACTTGTATGCGTTGTTGTTTCAGTAAATGTTTACCATTTGAAGACAAACAGTCGAAGTTATCTTTGGTGTAAACGCGGGAGCCCGAATATAACTTAAAGGCCCGATAGCGTGACTTTGGTGGCGTTTAGCGGTCAATCAACCCAGCCGTCATTTCCTCTGTGTTATTTTGGTAAATAAGGTCACATGGTTCATATGACGCTTTTAATTCTAATTTAACAATTGGTCTTGACAAGTAACACAGTGAACTGCTTTGTTTTCATATCGTATGGAGAAAGAGAGGCATCGTCGGAAAGTTTCAACGGGCCAAATAGGGTTAAAAAGAACTACTGCCGCAGTGTTAACTACTTTAAAATGTGAACCAAGGCCGAATGATTTTCTGTCCGTTGACCATTTTAGCGCTCAGGATAATGGTGTTACCGAAAAGAATATTAAGGAACACAAAGCTAGAGACAGATCGAAAGTGGACCATAAAGAAGATGTAGTCGCTAACAGTTCTGAAGATTTAAGAGATGAGACAGTCGCCAAAAGATCGATCCAAGCACGGTCTTTACCACGAACCCTCTTCGTCAAAAGATCAGATCAGAGACCCTGCTATGATATTGGAGTGAGCGTCACAAGGCATCGTTTGCCTCAGGAAATCAACACAACAAAGCAGAGCCAATTTATAAACAATTCAGCATCGGTCTCTGGAAGGCGAATGTCCTCTCCAGGAATAATTATAGGCAGCTCTGCCAATGGACAAATATCTGGTTCAAAAAGAATTGTGACAGCACTCGAACGACAAACAAAACAAGTTATCACGCAAACGAAATACCCCTCGGAAACCGGAAAAGAATCAAGCGATTCATTGCCGAAAATTACCAAATCCCTCGAAACTTTGACGACGGAAGATCACATGAAGAGAAGCAGATCTTTAGACGAGGTAAGGAAGATTGTAATAAAGACCAGCAAATGGTCTCCACAAAGTGTAAGCTCTGACAAGTCCACGGATCGTACTCAAGGACTTCTTGAAGCTAAGATTATTCCGGAAAGACGAGCGACCACACCGAAAACACCGACCTTGGAAAGGGGCGATGATGATCGGTACGAAATGGAAAATTATGATAAGATCGTTCAGCCCACTCGATTTGAAAACAAGGAAACCAAGACAACTTTTCCAGCCCCAATAGATCTGGTCGGTGATTATTCATCGTGGAAAGCTAAAGAAGACAGGGGGAGCAAGGGAGGAAATGAAAGTGTTGATCTTGTTAAATCTCAGATTGGCTTGGTAGAGAAGCCCAACGACGTCGCTTGCGAGGGAAAGAAACGGCATTCTCAGGGGCGCTCGCTGCGGCGTAAAATAACATTTAACAGTAAGGTGAAAGTCGACCACAGACCTAGGAGTAGGATTCCTCCTCAGAAACACGACTCAACCGCTGTTGACGCACTGTTTACGGTTTCAAACCCTGAGGACGAGTTAATCGACCTTAAAGTCAAAGCCTTTTTACGGAAACACCAGCCAAAGGCCAGTCATGGATCTTTGAAAGTTAAAGCCTCAAAGCACAAGAGACCTCTCCATCCAGCGAATAAATTACGAGAAAGAAGAAGCTATGAAAGAATTGTTGTTAACACGGATACGTGTCCAAGTTCAAACATAGTGACTCAGGACAGATCGTGGTATTATCAAGACCGAACAGGCAAGTGTCGGTATCTGAGAGTCCCTGAGTCACCAGTACCACCTGTAGAATGGGTGTTCAAACGAACCCCGTCTCCATAAGATAGCCCACAATGCCGACAGAACTTTGACATACGAAATTTATTGGGGGTTTCTAATACGGGTCCCGACGGTAACGGTAACCAAAGCCTAGCTCCCCAAATGAAAAAGGGTCGATGCGATCTTTAAGTTTCAACCCAGTAACAGGGCTGGAAGTAAGTGTTTGTGTGTGAAAAGTTCCAGTCTGTATATCGAGATCTCTGTAACCGGCAAAGTCCGTTTCTCATTTCAAAATGAACACATCTCAAGATTGAGGGGGAAGTTGGGATGAATTCTGCTAGAGAAAATAGAAAGTAGCGTTGCATCTTTCGAACGGTTACCGCGATATAGGTATGTTTCATTTTTGTTTTCCAGAGTTATTGATAAACGGCTTCCAACACAAGTCATAATATGACAATAACATTTCTTCTCAAGTTACATAAGTTATTTAACCTTTGTACGAAATCAATTAGCCGGCGATTGTTTACAACTGTGATAGCAAAAAAAAAAATAAACTCCAGGCACGTCAAAACCGAAGATATATTTAGTTACATGTTTTACACAATAACACTTGTTATATTGACACTGAAATAAATTTGTATTGGAACAACAGGAAAGTTGTGGGTTTGAGTTTCCTGTCGCATTGTTAACATACTTAATGATATGAAGAGTAGATTTACGTGAACAACAATCGATAGATAAATGTGGCATAAGATACATGTTAAAAGAAATTTCGGAAGCTTGACACATTATGTACTAATTGACTGAGAGGGAGGGCTGGATGGAAAAAATATTTGGCTTGAGGTTATAACGTACAGAATGCGTGCAGCAAGGTCCTTGCGTCACGATCGAGAGACGAACATTTTCCCGGCCGGCTGGACTTGCCTCAGTCAATAAACATTTTATCTTATGACCATCGCTCTTTCCCTTTTTTTTTTTTTCTTCCTTGTTTTAACTCGCATCATACGGGGCCATACAACTTTTCTCCGCTCTGCTCAAGCTATCCCGTACGGCCCCCTCTCGAGGATTTTTAGGGAATGTTTTTCAAAAGATGCAGACTTGGGCCGTACGGGTTGTATGAAATTTAGAAGTCAGGATCTAAAATCTAAGGCAAATAATCTCATGTTTTAAGGTCTTAACTTGTGATTTAGGTTCGATAAGGTCGAAGTCTTGAACTGACTAGAAGCAGGTAACTCATCAAACACTGCATAAAGTAGCCATAGATTTATCAATACTATCTTGCATGTAAATAGTTTAGGGAGAAGTTTTTGCTTAAATAGTTGAAACAACACTTGTGGATGGACTGCAATCCTATTGGTCAGGTTCGTGTGCATCACAAGTGCTATTTGAATTACACGACATTCAGGCATCACTCATCCTCCAGATTACTTGCTGAGTAGGACAAGTGATCAAAACGGAGACAGCAGGTATTCCTTGAGGGACCAGAAGTCGATGTTGTATTCGTTCTAGTCCTTTGCGAGTCTTTGCGCCATTTGACCCGTCTGTTTTTGAACCAGGTCTGAAAAATGTGCAACCTTGTTAATTTTAAACAGTATGCCTTGAATCAATGTTTCCTTGTATGCCAATATAAACTCAGAAATACCTTAATGATTTTCTCAGAAATCCCCAGTTCTTGTGTCAACCTGTGGTAATTCTGCATTGAAAGGAAGGGCGAGCAGCTAAATGTCTTCTCCAGCTCTCGCTTTTGATGAGTAGTAAACTTAGTACGACTTCGACGAGCTGTGAGTTTTGCCGGCTTAGTGGCAAGTTCCAGTGCTTCCTGAGGTATGGTACCTGCACAGGAAAGTTAATGTTATTAAATTCACACAAAACTTAAACCTCGACAAGCCATCTACAGGTAAAGTAGCTATGGACGGGTTTTGTCGATATCTACCACCTATCTAGGGTAAATTATAGCAGCAATCAAGTTTCTTCTTGAGAGAGAGCAAAAACATTGCAAGAGAAGAGATTGGGACGAGACGCGGGCTAGACAGGTTGCGCTTCGCCTCAGTCGCCTCTCACTATATCACATCACGTTTTTTTTTTCCCTCCTAGCTCCTAGTCCTGCCAGAAAGTAGCAAAAAACCAAAGATTAAAAATGAAAAACTACTGCATGATAGTCCGAACAGATCTATGCAATGACGATACATATGTGAACAACAGTGTCACAGAAAGCTGAGATTGATTTTCAGTCACATGTTGTCGTGGTACTACAACCTAGTACCTAATCATCCTCACTGAATTTAGTATTTAAAAGAGCCGAACAATAAACTAAAAACTCAACTTCCCTTGGTTCCTTCTCAATTTTTTAAACTTTACAAGTTCACTTGTATGAGATCACCCGTTTTATTGAACTAGAACAATCCATCATGTTAAAAAGTCTCCGCGGATACAAAATACAATGATTGTTTTTTTTCTAAAAATGATCGTAAAGGTACGAGAGCCTCTTTATGTTTCCGTTAACTCTGTGTAGCATTTTGACCCCTCGGCGTCCTTTTCTAGTCAACGAAAGGTTGAAATCTGATGAAAAAGAACCGATAGATCGATTCATATTCCCCCAACAGTGATTCGTTTCGAGAAATGATAAAACATACATTAACTATATAATTTCATACTGATGTGGAGTTCTGACCTTTCACTAAATCTACTGAGACGAGAGGCTGTGGTTTTTATCACAATAAGAGATGTGAGATAGAATGAGAATGATTTAGTTTTTGTGGTACATCTTTCATGACTACGTCTATAATAACCTTTGAACGAGTAAAATCAATAGAGAGGGATTTTATATAAATTTATCTCGGTGGCCGAAAAAAGTCCTGCTCCCTCAAAGATCAAACCGCAGATCTTTGGATCGTTAGGTTAAATCCATGTCTTATTTCTGAGCTCAAGGAAATCAAGAAGTGAACTGAACCACAAAAGCAGACATTTCGGCGCAGAATTATTTGAAGGGTCCATAACCTTTGATATTTAGCCTACGAACTTCATCATCTAAACAATGTGAAAAAAAAATTCCATTAGACGAACCTGATTCCTTTATGGCACCATCGATCAAGAAAACCTTCTCATCCGAGTTATCAGTCTGTCGATTCCATCTTTCTTCCCGGCCGGCGTAGCAAATTGTCGCTGGTCTGGGATAGTCGAGTTGGGAACGCTCAGACTGATTCAAGTTTTTTTGATGAATCATTCCAAAGCTGCAAGATAACGTGATGTTTGCCATTTCCAGAATGCTCGATTTTCTGTGTTCCTATCCTAGATCATTCAAAATATGTAATCTAAATATGCGCTTTTTGCACGTAATTGTGTTTATTTGTTTTCCTTTGGGTTTTTTAATTTTACGCAGCTTAAACTAAAATTTTCGAAAGAGAGTTTTCGAAAACAGATTAGATAGAAAACAAACGTCATAGAGCCACCCCTAGCAACCTCTTGTTTTTGCTTTAGCGCTTTGTTGTTTTTTTTTTCTGATTTTTTTGTCCATTCTTCCATTTTTTTTACGATTGGCACCATTCGTTAGATGGTTACAGCTCGTTACGCGTGTAATAATTTCATTGGGTTAATACAACACATTTTTCATTCATTTTAATTTACCATGGTACATCGACACTCTTCAACTTAGAGAACACAATCTCACAAGTCACGTCATGCGGACGAAAATATTGCCAGTATAGTCTCCCATGTTTATGCTTTAATCTTACTCAGTGAAATAGTCTTGACATTTCTGAATTTTCTGGTTTTTCAAGTAGGTTGTTAGGTGTTTACATTGCCTTCAGAACGAAATAAGAAATGTTAAAAAAAATATGAGTGAACTCAAGTAACTTTTTAACATCAAAAATGATTACGAAAAGTGACTAACTGAAACAATTATCTTTGTGCTATGTGTATTTTATGTAAGATCTCTACACGTGCACCTATTTTTCATAACGTTAACTTAGAAAAAAGCAAAAAGAAAAAAGAAAAAGCCAAATTGAACTTTATAAGCATATAAAACTACCCTCTTGCTACATGCCCATGTAACAAGCGACATGTAAACATGAGCTCATAAGCTCATATAAACAAAGATATCTCCCAACTCTCCGCCAATTCATAAAAGTATATAAGCCATAAAGCTAACCGAATTTAGCGTGAAGCTAGTCAATGTCACTTAGCAAAAATTCAACGTTAGAAATCGATGTTTCGGCAGCGAGATCGAACCGGTCCTCTTTTTGCACCTGCTTGTAAAGAGCCGGCAATCGCTATTGCCACATTACGTCACATCATAAATGGATGTTATAGATTAATTTCAAGTTTATCTCTCTCAAAATATTTCTACGTTCGATACACCATTTAAACACTAAGCGTTATAAATTTTTCGGGCACAGTTGGGTGAATTGATGAGAAATCGCGCCTCACTGTTGCTCAGACGAGCTCTCCATCGGTTAGTTTTCAATTCAATCAAACCATAGGGACTCTTGTAAACGGTCATCTGCTGTATAATTTTCTATCAAATTCAAATGAGTCTGTCTCTTGGTAAGGGGTCGAGATAAAAAGTCACATAGCTACACCAGCCTAGAGGTCAGCAACTAACGGCACAGTTTTTTACAATTAAGAAATCATCAAGATCGAGCCGGTTCCCTTTCTGTAGTCTGGAAAATGTGTGCTATTATCGCCTAATAGATAACCCGGTAGGTAATTTACCTGAATCAGCCACTGGAAGATATTCAGTTCTTCTAATCAAACCGTCAGATGAAATATCTTCCACGCACCCCAACTTGTAGAAGAGGGGAAGATAACCTCAGGCTTCAAGAGTAGCGCTCAGAGGTTACGCTTTCTCAGCTTTTTGGGTAATTTTTTTGATAAAAAACTGAAACTTGTTAGCGAGTAGAGTGGTATGTTGCTCGCACCATTAGAATATGTATCTCGCACCAATTAGTTTGCTGAATAAGGATATGTATTTCGCACCAACCATATCACAGCATTTGAATATCCTGCACCAATCACAGCGTTTGGGTGTTGTTTTCTTGCAAATTATTTCATGGAATTAGGGGGCTGGCACTGTGCGCAAAGAATTACATTAACCAGAAATTTGGACCCCATTTGATAAGTGTAATGGTTAATGGCCTTCGCAAGAGCCACGTCGAGATGTTTTGGGATATGAAACGTTCTCATTGAACTTTTCGTATCATTTTTAGGTTAAAACGTGTTTTTCTACCCCTTTGCTCACAGCGCACACGCCAAACAACTTACATTCCATCACGTACTATGAAAACAACGTCCAAAATTCCAATCAGAAGATACCCAATTACTGCACTACATGAACATTAGGAAATTTTTCACATGCTTGAATTATATTCAACCAATCAAATTCCATGTTGCCACATAAGACTTGGCTCCATCACGTGTCACTTTTTTTTTTTTTTCTATAGACAACCTGCTTTTTATCACGTACTCTGATTGCGTTGTCCAACCCCGCTGAAAAAAATTCACATGGAACTAAATGCTACTGATGGTGAACTTTCCACGCAATTCTTCCGCGTTTTGACTTCATCTAAAGATAAAATTCGCTTTTAATTAACTTGGTCTTAACCCAATCGCGTGTTAATTCCTTGTAAGTAACCTGCATCTTATTACGTATTTCACACACAGAGAGGCAACAACCAATCAAGGAGCCCTTTTTGGAATATTCTCGTTTTCTTTTGTTTAATGTAACTTCACTATTCGGAGATCGCAAGATATCCCTGCTTAGGATCTAATGGAGATACAACAGAGTTTCAGTTTGCTTTTCGTAGTAAAATTACGTGGAATCATATTTTTGAGGCAACTAATTGGCGACGAATAATTTTGATTTTCTTCCTGTAAGAGGAACGGCAGTAAGCGTAGTCTCTTACGCAGTCGTTATTTGGTCACGTCACGCAACACGCTCTCTCTCCAACGGGGAATAGAGGGCGTTGTGTGACGAGATCAAACAACGGCTGTGAAGGAGACAACAGTAAGCTTGGCACAAAGCATTTGATTTTTGATTAGAGGTATTTCGACAATAGAGAAAATAGACCACAAAATACCTGTGTGAGTTCAGATAAATTAGGTTTTTTTTGTCTTTCTCTTAAAGTGACGTAATGCAATAGTTTCGTTCTCTTGAAAGTTTTGCTCTTTTTCTGTTACAAAAATGAAAACATTAGGTTCACAAAGCGTCCCACCTCGACTTACCCAGCCAAAACATAATTCTTGCATGCTACGCATGCCCCGTTGTTGTTTTTTTTTTCAATCGTCATTACGTCATCATGGTGAATGCCACAAACCACAAACCGCAAGCTGCCAAACATTACACATCAGATTTCACCACAGAACCACTAACTAATAAGCTGTTATTCTCAAATTAGTCGCGCCGCAGGAACGCTCACTAAAAATTAGAAAAATTATCATTGGAAGAGGGGTATGAACGGGGGATAAGTTCTCTCAGTTGATATTCTGTTAGTAAAAACTATTCCACGATGAGCTCCTCAAGAGATGTAGAAAGATGTTTTCTCTCTGAAAAGAATCAATAGGGATTTTTGTAGGAATAAATGATCAGTTTAAGTCGTTCAGTCGGACTCCTTAACCCTTTAACTCCCATGAGTGACCAAGAGAGAATTTCTCCTTACAATATCAATGCAATATCAACCAGACTAGTGATGAAAATAAAGAAAAGTCTTATTTAGGGGATTATCGGTTGATCCAATACCAAATTCTACAAACTAACATCAGAAGAACTATATGGCAGACAGTAAGGAGAATTAATAATGAGATCTTGGGAGTTAAAGGGTTAAGAAACGGGAAAAATGCAATAAGTAAATCTATCGAGACCCATGATTTGGTCAAGGTTACTGTTTTTTCCACTGATTCGTTCAACGGATTTCGCTTGGAGAGAGGGCACGCTCTTAAGTCCCATTCACAACAACAACAAAACATGTTCAGTTAAACCAGGTTTAACTGAAAGAAAATCAGCTACAGCAAAAAGAAAAACTAAAGTTTGCAAAGAAGGGTCTGAAAGGGGTTAACCGACTTACTGAAAAAGGGTTAAATATAACTGACTACCGACACAACGCAAAAAGATTACTGATTAGCGAAAAGTGAATACTGACCGACATCCGATATGGTCCGACATTGTCGATATTTGTGATCACAAAGAAGATCACTTTAGCTTAGGAGGTAACTACTTTAAATTGAACATTCAAATAATTATAGAATTTCCTGTCATCAAACTTCCTTCAAGGCGGGTTCGGAGCGCGGGCTCATTTCCAGAACAACATCCAGTACTAACGAACTCGTATATATAACTTGCATTGTTAATCAT